TTCTACTCACCTCTTTCACGAGTCTTCTCCAGTTTGACCAACCAATTTCGACTTTCAAGTCAATCTCTCACATCCTCTCAAGCGTCACGTTGGACTTCCTCGAAGTTAGTCGTAGAGGTACTTCCTTCCAACTAGGGTTATCCTCGAGAACAGACTTCTCTGCTACACGACCAATTCAGTGGACGAATCAATCACCCCTACGCGATACCCTGTGATCAATTATACTCATTCACTTGACGACACACAATGTCAAGATCGAGATACACAGAAAGGGTCGCCTCGCCTCTCGGATCCAACCCCAAGACCACCCCAGCTAGTCCAGCACCCACACCGGCACCTAGGGGTAGGATCCGTCCTCCAGTCTCTACCCCTTCTCCTCTTTCGTCTTCAGTTAAGACTCCCCTCACCAACTCTAGTGCAAACTCCGTCCCTATCAAACCCTCTGTCAACCTCTCCAACCCTGCCAAGTATGCCCCTCCTACCCCCTCAACACCTCAAGTCCAACCCCTGAAGACTCCACCTCCACGAACCTCTTCCAACGTTCGTTCCATTCCCATCAAGAATGACCCCTTCATCCCTGCTCCTACACCTCCAATGGTTTACAACTCGACGCCCTTTTCACAACCCGAGGTAAACTTCAACAACTCCAATGCCGAGGCGGACCCGAGCAATATCCCTCCTCCCATCAAGACTGAAGATAACCTTCACCGAGAATCCACCGCTAGCTTCTCCGGCATTGGAGGTATTTTGACCCAATCCTATGATAGTGATTCCGACTCCGAGATGGAAACCCTCACTACTACCTCTCCAAAACCCAGAGAGGCAAGAGTAAAGAGTATGCGAGCGGAAGCTGAACGAGTAGGAAATATCAGGAGTGTAGAGGGAGAATTAGGCTTGACTTCCATCCCCAATACTCCGCAGAAGACTTCCTTCTCTCGACCCACACCAACCTCTACCCAAGTCACTTCTGCCTCTCGTCAGAAACAATCGGATGGGATGACCGAACAGAGACCAAAGTCTATACTCAAAGGTGGGCTCGGACAGAGGAACCAAGCGATGTCAGAAAGGACCACTCAAAGACCTCCTACGATTGTACATTTTCCTGAACCTGCTATGACGGGAAGAATCCGAGATGGTCCTATCGGTTTGGGTTCGAATGGTGTAGGGTTGGAAAGACCTAGACCTACCTTGGTTATTCCTCAAACTCCTAATGCTCAAACTCAACAACGTCTCGATGAAGGACAATCCCCTTTTTCGCCTCACGATCGAACGGTCGATCATAATACAACTCATTCAGGAGGTTATCCAAGTCCTATTTCACCTCAACCAGATAATCAAATCTTACAACCTCCCGCTCAACTTCATCAAAACCAATATTACCCACCTCACTCTCCCCAATTGCATGGTTCACATGGATTTGTCAATTTACCACCACCGGCAAGTCCTATCTCACCATTCCTCGCTGCACCGAGGTATAGTCAAAGTCGATCTCCTCATTCC